TGCTGACACCGGCACCGGGACCGCACCCAGAGCCGGAGCGAAGCAGAGCCGCCCCGGCCGAGCCGGTAAGGGACCCCCGGGCTCCGGGGCAGTGGGGGCGGTGGGCTCGGCCGTGCTGCGGAGCTGTGCCGGGTGCCCGGCCCCCGGGAGCATCAGCCCCGCACACCGCCGGGGTTCGGGGAGGCTGCGACTCCTGAGGGGCCCTCGGAGCCCTTCCACGCAGTGGGAACCGGCATGGAATAGCGAGTCCTTGTTCCCCCGGAGAGACAGACCTGTCAGAGCTGTTAGAGCCCGGTACATTTTGCAGGGCCAGAGGGATTCCCGGGAAGCTCAACTTCATATCCCCGGGCAGAATCCACAACTCGCGGCAGGGCTGCGGGCAAAGCTGCAGACAGCATCCCTCAGGTGTGAGCATCCCTCAGGTGTGAGCATCCCTCAGGTGTGAGCATCCCTCAGGTGTGAGCATCCCTCTGTGGTACCCTGAGGATGGTCACACCTGAGGGATGCTGTTGTTACCAAGGGAATGCCTTTAGCAGGAGGATTCTGCTTCACCAGAAGGACAACAACTTGGTGTCCATAATGACATCACATGGGACATTTAATTCCCATCAGAAAGGTTCCCTTGGCCTCCCAGATCTCCCGTCTATGAAGATCTCTTCTCCCAAGCTGGCCCAGGCAGCAAGGAGGGGCATGAGCAGCACCAAAGGCAGAGGAAAGGTGTCCCACCCGCTTCACCTCCTGCCTTGCTCCTGGCAGCTCTGGGGTGTCCTTTGGGGTTCCTACATCATCCTTTTTACTGTGCTAGGCAGTGGCTTGTCTCTTCACCTCCTGCCCCCAGAGTCAGGCTGGCAAACCATACCCTTTGTTTACTTTAAAAAACAAACTCACCTCCAAACACTTCTTTGGTGGAACCCTTGGAAACCCGACTTGTACCAGCTCACGGACCAGAAGGGAAGTGAAACGAAAGCAAGGAAAGCAAAAGAGCTCCACATCTTGTTATTTAAAACCTTGGTGATGATTAAGTCAGTCTGATGATCCTTAGAGTCTGACTCATCATTTTTTTTAAACACTCAGGCTTGGTGAGATAGGAATTTACTGCTGATGTTCTAAAGCAGCAAACTACCGCATCCCCCATGGAAACTGGTAGCAGGACGGGGCAGAGGCTCCCAGGCCCATCTCCACACCCCATCTTGCAGCTCCCTTTGTCCACCTCAGTGGTCTCTGCAGAGATAGGGGTAGGGGAGCTGAGGTTTCTGTTTCTAATTAAACCAAATTAAGCTGTCCTGGAAAAGATATCCAGTGTCACTCCACCCTTGTTTTCCAGTCTCACGAGCCCAGCCCCTCACCCCTTTGCCAGGGCACATCATACACAAGGCATACCCAGTGTTCCAGGAAATAACGCCGTGTCATATCCCCTCCACCCACAGCTTCCCTTCAGTGATGGGAGAGGCCTTGCCAGAGCGCCCAGAGGCTGTCCTGCTGCCCAGGAGCTGCTGCCACCCCCGGGGAGCTGCCAGCGGCCATGCTGAGCTGGCGGGCTGCAAGATGACCCTCACCAGCACCACACCAGCCACCAGTGTGGCCCAGGCCTTCTTCTGCCTCCTGCTCTGCATCCCCTGGGGCAGCTCCTGCCCCCCCAGCTGCCAGTGCACGGAGCGGGCTGGGGCGAAGGCTGTCCTCTGCAGCTCCCGGCACCTGGAGGAGATCCCCAAGGACATCCCCAGAGATGTGGTGCTCCTCAAGCTGGATGCCAACAGCATAACCAGGATCCCCAGCAATGCCTTCAGGCACCTCTCCCACCTGGAGGAAATCGACCTCTCCAGGAATGCCATTGAGAAGATCGACAGGGCAGCTTTCAAAGGGGTGGCAGCTGGGCTGCGGACCCTTGACCTGTCCAGCAACCGCATCCGCAGCATTCCCAAGGAGGCCCTGCTGGCACTCAGTGCCAAGCTCCGGCTGGCCAACAACCCCTGGCACTGCGAGTGTGCCTTGCAGGAGGTGCTGTGGGAGGCACGGCTGGACCTGGACTCCATCCAGGACATCACCTGCCACACGGCCCCGCGCGAGGAGTACGTGGGCAAGCCGCTGCTCCAGGTCCTGGATGCCGGCGTCAACTTCTGCAGCGTGCGCCAGAGGACCATGGACACGGCCATGTTCGTCACCATGTTCGGCTGGTTCGCCATGGTCATCGTCTACATCATCTGCTACGTCCGGCACAACCGGGAGGACTCCTGCAGGTACGGGGCCTACCTGAGGTCACTGCCGAGCGCCCAGGCCCACGCAGAGACCACCAGCACTGCCCTGTAGCGTGGGGCTGGAGCTCCAGCTTCCACCTTCTTCAAAGGCAGCCGGTGACCACCTGGTGGGCATCAACGCTTCTTGGCGGGACTCCCCAGTGCTTTCTTCAGACAAAGTGCCACCACTCCCCCCTCCCCAGTGACACTGGACTGAGCGTGAGCAAACTGCCTGGGGGAGGATGCCAGGGACACCCCATGTGGGCCTGACCATGGAGACCAAGTTCCTGGGGACAAAGATCCCCAGCCAGACCCTACCAGAGCTGGGCTCGCAGGGAATGCAGCCCCATGCTTGTTCCTGGCAGGGAGAGATGAATTGTATGGCCAGGAGATCCCTGGGGTGCAGAGGGTCACTGCAGAGGGGTCACCCCATCCTGGCCCCAGTGAGGCATCAGCCTTGCAAGGGCAGGACATCCTCCCCAAGCCCCCTCCCCACCTCGAGGTGCCTTGGCAGCCTCTGCCTGCCTCCAGCAATGTGGGGGCAACTCCAAAACCTTTGTTTCCTCAATAAAGCCCTGCACTTAGGAAAAACCCCCAGGGTTTGTGCTGTGCTGGGAGCTGAGCGTCCAAGGAGGGTGGTGGTGCTCAGGGGGCTTATCCTAATTCAATCTCTCCCAAAGCAGACCAGCCTAAATTCAATGTACCAGCATGGCTCCCATTAGTTGTCATCCCCTCCCATCCTCAGCTGAATCTGCCTCGAGCAGGGACCAGTTGCCCAAATACATCTGGTCTTGCCTTATCTTGCCCTTCCTCGGGGCTAAATTAGAGTTGCTGCTCACAGCTCGGTGATGGAGGCAAATCAAATTCTCCCTTTCCCCACGAGGGAAAAATGGTCCTTCCTGGCAGAGCCAGCTGCAAAGCTCACCCTGCAGGTCTGGACCCTGGAAAGGCTCAGGCTGTGACCCCCCCAGCCCTTCTTGATGGGGCTGGCACCTCCTGAGTGCTCCCCAGTGCCAGGGTGGGTGGCCCAGCTCAGCAGGAAATCTGGCTCTGGGGAAGGCTGAGAGGTGTTCTGGGACACTCAGGTGAGGCAGTGTGTTCTGGGTGGGGGGAACAGAAGGGCACCCTCACCCCAGCACACTCCTGAGCCCAGGGCCACCTCATCCTCACCAGGCCACCTGTGGCCGTGGACATTCAGGGCTGACTTGCTGGGTGAAGGGAGGGATGCCTCCACCACAGGCAGAGCAGCTCAGTTACCCATGCAGGAGAAAGGCTGGGTGCACACAGTTTATTAGAGCTCTGGTTAAGCAAAAGAGTCCCTCAGCAAAGGTGAGGAAAAGAAAAGAGGCCACAGTTTCACCTGAAGCAGTTTTGGGTTTTCCCCATGCCCGTTGTAGCTGGATTGGTCCAAATGCAAAGCAGGTTTTCTTGGGAGTCACTAACCCCATGCAAAGGTGCATGGCCCAGCAAGGACCAGCACTGGCCCTCGAACACACCAACAGGTTTGTGCAACACACACGACACTTGTTGAGGGAGACCCAAACCAGCCATGGCAGAGTGGGAGGGTGGGCAGGCACCTGTGGCAGTGGCCTGGAGGTGACATGAAGAACGGCTGCAGTGTCAAACCAGATGGTCCTCAGGAACATCACAGCCCCAGGCAGACACAGCCAAGGCTGGACACACTTTTTTTCTGTAATTTCTCACATGTTTACTCCCCTCTGCCATGCACCCATCTCAGCAGCTCATGCTCTGCTCTGTCTCTTTCTTCCCTGGCTTTGTGCAAGCTTTGGCCACAGCTGCTGGCAGCTCTGGGTCCCACCTGGGGACTGGAAATTGCCAAGTGTCACAGTCCTGGTAGGCCAGGGGATGCACCTGGGCTCCAGGAACCTTGGACATGGCTCTGGAATGTGGTGGCAGAGCTTTCCCAGGAGAAACAGCCTCTGGACAAAGCTGCAGGGAGCCCTGGGGCTCTGCCTTCCTCCTCCTCTTCTTCCCCTTCCTCCTCCTCCTCCTCCTCCTCCTCCGATGCTGCAGCAATTCCTGGGCTCTGTGGTCCATCTTCACCTGGATGCCCAGATTGCCCTGGTCCTGGTGATGAGCTGAGCACGTCTCAGCTGCCTCAGGTGGTTTTCAGCTTGAGCACCTTGGAAAGCGGCTCCTTGGCACTGGAGTAGAACAGGTAGGAGCCCTCAGGGGTGTGAAACGCCTCCCAGTCTCTACAGCCCACAGTGGGGAGGTGGTGGGCTGCCACGAAGCCTTCGTAGCCTTGCCACCTGCACAGGGAAGGCAGTTAGCTCCTGGGCTGTGAGGTGGGCACCTGGGAAGGGCAGGGGAGCTGAGCCATGGGGCTGGCATCTCCCACCTCCCTGCCGTGGCTCAGGCTGGGATGCCCCTCACCGGGGCTTCCCATTCCTGCTTGAAAACAGGGAACAATCCTATCCATCCTCCCTGGGCAGATGCACCAGGCTGTGCCCATGCAGGGTTGTTCCAGCTGGGAACAGCCCCCCAGCCCCCCAGCCTGCCCTCTGCAGTACCTGTAGATGATGCTGTTAACAGAGAAGGTGAAGCCATTGAAGGAGTTTGCGACCACCAGAAAAGAGTCATCTCCCACCGAGAAGAACTCCCAGTCCAGGGCACTGGGGATGAAATAAGCAGAGGGGCAGGTAAGATGACCCCTGTGTGCCTCGTTGAAGGACCCCACCCCACCCCAATCCCTGATGCCCTGAGGACACACAGAAAACCCTGCTCTTCCCAGGCTGTTCCTGAAAGAAATTCACCTTCATTCCCAAATCTAGGACCTTCTCCCAGCTTCCACTGGGATGTGGTGCCAAGGAGCCACCACCCATCACCCTCCCCACCAGTCTCAGTCCCTGGGAGAGTGAAAGCCTGCAGGAGCCCTCCAGGAGACAAGCTAAGTTTTTAGTTTTAAACTAAAAGAGGAGACGCCCTGGCACAGGTTGACCAGAGCAACTGTGGCCGTCCCACCCCTGGAAGTGTCCAAGACCAGGTTGGACGGGACTTGGAGCAACCTGGGACAGTGGAAGGTGTCCCTGCCCATGGCAAGGGGTGGAATGAGATGGGCTTTAAGGTCCCTTCCCAACCAAACCATTCTGGGATTCTGTGAGACCTCAGTGGATGGACATGGACCGAGGAGCACCCTGAATCCTTGCACAGGTACCTGTAGGTGAGAAGGTCCTGGAATTTAACAAACATCTGGGCCGTGATGTTCAGCTCATAGATGGAAGAGTTGATGGCGTAGAAATTGGAGGGTGCTGGCATCCCGCTGTCATAGCTGTGGCTGTTGGCAACAGCCAGAAAGACTCTGTCCCCAATATGAAAAACCTCCCAGTCAGCCGCACCAAATGTCTGTGGGGAAGGAGGCCGTGAGAAGCTGGATGTGGTGCCCTGTCTAAACACAGAGGGGGGGACTCAGGAGCAGTGGCCAAGCCTTACCAGGATAGACTGGAAGAGCTGGAAAGAGCCACTGAGCCAGATGTAGATGTGTGAGTAGATCTTAGTGGACGTGCCATTGAATGTGTTAGCTACAGCCAGGAAGGAATATGGTCCGATGGTGAAAAATTCCCAGTCGTAGGCTCCAGAGGTAGGAATGGTCTGGTTAGTTTCAAACAGCCCTGTCCTGGGGTTCCACCTGTATATCACGCTGTCTATGTTGTGGTTGTTCCCTGGGGAGACAGATGTGCACCGTGAGGGAAAGCAATTCCTGGTTTGTGAAGGAAACAAGACCCAGAAACAGGCTCAGCTACGTGAACATTTGCTAACAGGTCACGAGGCTGTTTGCAAGTGACCTGCTGCTTCCCAAGAAGTAGCCAAAGAGATTCTACAGCCTCCACCCCTACCTAAAGACCCCCTCCATCTCTACCTAGTGTCTCCATCCCTAGAGCCTCCATCCCATGGAACACACCAACAGCTCGTCCTGGAACACACCAACAGCTCGTCCCGGGTGCACAGCAGCAGCTTTGTGGCAGCCCTGGCAGAGGAGGGACAGGCTTTGTCCCCACACAAACAGCACTCCAGAGGCACCATGCCAGCATCCCAGGATGGACAAGCTCTGCCAGCTGTCCCACAGGGTGTCCCTAAGCTCCTGACATCGGGGGCTTCCCTCCTGCCCTAAAGCATGTGTTCAATCCAGCCCCTGGGCTCTGCTCAAGCATCTCGAGCTTGTGCCTGTGTGGGACCCAGCTGGCTTTAAATCCTCTTTGCAAGGGGATTGAGAAAGAAAGGCTGCAGGAAGAATGGGAATGGCCACATGGGCAAGTGGCAGCTCCTCAGGGACTGACCTCCAGCCCCCTCTAAGGGAAACATCCCCAGTTTGGCTTGGCCATGATGGCTTTAACCCCTGTGTGATGTGCATGGCTGGCAAAGGGACCACACTGCCACAAGGGTCGGTCTCATCCAAACTGGCCTTGATGGAGTCCAACAGGGCACACAGGGTGTTTCAGCCCAGCTCACAGGTGCCCAAGCAACCTGCTGACAGCTCTGACCCTGGTGCCAGAGGTGCTGATGTCCCCTGAGGCAGCCCTGATGGCAGGGAAGGAGCCCACTGGCCCATCATCCGAACCCAGCTGGGAGCATCCCAGAGAGCCAGGGCTGTGCCATTCATCCTCTGCTCCAAGGGTGCACATCCCAACCCAGAACAACTCATGGCCTGGGGAGGGGAATGAGGCTGGTGATGTCTGCAGGGTGTCCAGGGAGGGATGGCAGCTGGCTCTCACTCAGTTTCCTGTGTGCCCACGAAGCCAAGGATCTGGCTTCACAAGAGGCTCAATCTGTGGCACTACCAGGTTACGCAGTATTGGGGATAAAAATGAAAAGAAGCAGAAAGATTCAGCACAGACACCATCCCCACTCCTGTCCTTGTCCCCTGCAGTCAGAAACCCAGAGGATGACTGTGTCAGCCACTTCCTCAAAAGCTTTTCTCTCCTCTGCAAGGCTTTGGGTGTCCTGAGGGACCCCACGCTCACAGCTCACACCTCCCTGGCTCTGCCCTGCCCTCCATTCCACCTGAGGATGCACAGGGAGCGTGATGCTCTGAGCAGGATACCTGCCAGGGTCCCAGATACCACCCCAGGGAACACTGAGGGCTGGCTACCTTCTCTGTGGTTGACCACAGCAAGGAAAGCCTCTCCCTCGATGACAAAGGCCTCCCAGTCCCTGGCGCTGTGTGTGGTGATCCGCTGGTATGTGACAAACTTCGCTTTCCTGCGGCTCCACTTGTAGATCACAGAGAACTCCTGACCCCTCTCATTCTGCTCAAAATTTGCCACTGCCAGGAAGATCTGGAAAAGGAAAAGCCAGGACAGCTTGGTTTTCTCCTTTCAAATGAGCATGGGCAAGAAAACGCAGGGGGAGGTGGGATGGAGGGCAAGGGGTGGAGGTGGCTGGTGTGGGACAGGCTGGCCCTGGCTGAGGTCCCTGAGCAGTCCCCAGGAAACACAAAGTGGGGACAGGGACCTGTGAGGGTGTTTGTGCATGGCAGGGGCACAACTCACAGCCAGAAGCCTCTTAGACAAGGGGAGGGAGAGCTGAGCTGTCTCCACACACGCCCCTCCAGCCCCAGAAATGGGGAGCAAGGACATGAAATGTGCTGGGGAAAGAGGGAGGTTCAGCTCACAAACCCTCCTGTAAGAAAGGGTGGGATAGATATGATAATGATAACAATGAGAGTAATGATAAAAATTCCCTGAGTCAAAACATTTCTCAGACCAAGAAACCCTTGTAAAAGTGTAAGAGACAGGAGTGATGTAGCAGAGGTGGCCAAGTGTGAGGCAGGGAGCACACCCAAGCTCTGTCCTGCTGGCTCTGTGCCACTCCAGCATCCTTCAGAGGGAGCAGCAGAGATTATGTCCCAGTCTGGGCCACAAAGAGGCACGGGACCACAGCCCACAAAGAGCAAAGAGTCAGTGGGGGTGCCTCCTGCCTCCTGGCCTGTACAGGACCCTGCCAGCACCAGCCTGGGGCTTTCTTCAGCCAAGGAGAAGCCACTTTCAAGGACACAGGGCTGTGCTGGGTCCCCCTGTCCCCCTACACAAGGTGAATCCCCAGCTCTGCTCTCTCTGCAAGCACCAGTCCAGGGAGCTCCTTTGGGGCACCTCCAGAAACAGCTTCAGTGGGAAGAGAAACATCTGGGCTACTGGAATCAGCAGTACTGGAGGTGCTGCTGGTGTGACACCTCTTTGGCCACTGTCTCCATGAGGAAATGTGCAGAGCTGAGGGGGAGCACCTGGAGACACCCCATAGTTCCCAAATCCTGCCAGGCAGGATGTCAGGCACATTCCCAGCACAAAGCCAGCGCTGCAACACAGCTGCACATTCAGGCCTTCTGCAGAACCCCACCATCAGGGACAGTCCCCACCGTGTCCCCTACCAGAGATGGTGCCCAGCATCAGTTCCCACTGCCACCAAGAGGGGATTGGGCCTGTTTGCATCCAACCAGCAGGGATGTCGGTGTCACCAAGCCTGGAGGCAGAAATTTTGCCCATCCCTCTGTACCCAGGTGCACGTGGCTGGCAATGGGGGAGCCCTGCAGTCACCCTGGGGACAAGGCCAGAATGGGTCATGACAGAGGGGGAACATCAGATGGCTTTCCTGGGATTCCTCCAAAGTGATAAGTGGCTTCCCAGAGAGAGGAACCAGGCAAATCCTCTGCCCAAGACCCAAGGCAGATTACCCAGGGGAGGAAGGATGGCTCCAAAATCCTGGAATAATTTAAAAGCAAGAGAGTTTAAAAATGCAGCAGGCTGGACTCAGCTGGTCTCAAGAGGGAACTGCAGGCTCTGATGGCTCTTTAAGAGCACAGGTGGATCTCCGAGGTGCAGTTACCACACCCAAAATTCCAGCCTTCAGAGAAGCCAATGCTGGGCAACTGCAATTTGATACACTGAAATCTGGGGGCACCTTCCTGGCAGACTCACCTTCTTCCCAATGGTGAAATACTTCCAGGACTGGGCTTGGTAGGTGGGGATGTTCTGGTAGTGCAGAAACTTCCCGTCAGTCCACCTGTAGATGGCTGATCCTGGGGGTGTGTTCCTGTTGGCCATGGCTGCAAACAGTCCCACCTTTGGGATGGTGAAGACCTCAATGCCCATCGTCTCCGAGTTGGTCACCAGGTTCTGGTATTCCTCCACATAGTCCAGCCTGTGTTGGACTGGGAGCCCACAAAAAAGAGGGATGAGGTTAAAAGCAGGTGATTTGAGCTGGTGAGGGCTGGCTCAGTGGCGCTGCTTGCTGCTGTGCAGAGCTTTGTGGGGAAAATGAAGGTCCTGGTGTCACTGGGGGTGAAGGGCCAAACCCAGGGGTGGTGAGAGGCTGACTCCACCTCGATGGGCAGCACGTCCAGCCCCGTCCAGCCCTGCCTGCTCTCCAGCAGCGAGCAGAGCTGTGTCCTTGGGGAGCAGGAACGAACCCCATGCCATGGATTTTGATTGCTTTGATATATTTATCCTCCAGAGGACAAGGAGGAGATGGCAGGAGGAGAGGTTAGAGAAGACTTAAGACAGAATTAATGCCAGAAGTTGGAGCAGAAACCCCCAGAGTGGCACAGATGGCAGACAGATGGGCACTGGAGGGGACAAATGGCAAAAGGGACAGTGCTGGTGGCACCAAGGGGCACAGGGCAGTAAGACCCCAGCATGAGCTCTCCTTGGGGACAGAAGGACACCGTGCCAATCCTGATGACTCCCAGAGGTGGGGAAGGATAAGGGGTCCAGTCCCTGCTAGCTCCTGTGGGGAACAAATGGCTCATCCAAACCCACCCTGGGGGAATCAGCAGAGGAAAAATTCTGGGAGGTTTGGGAAGGTTTGGGAAGGTTTGGGAAGGTTTGGGAAGGTTTGGGAAGGGAAGGTTTGGGAAGGGAAGGTTTGGGAAGGGAAGGTTTGGGAAGGTTTGGGAAGGTTTGGGAAGGTTTGGGAAGGTTTGGGAAGGTTTGGGAAGGGAAGGTTTGGGAAGGTTTGGGAAGGTTTGGGAAGGTTTGGGAAGGTTTGGGAAGGTTTGGGAAGGTTTGGGAAGGTTT